GCTCTTCTTCCCTTCCTCCAGTGGGGACTCAGCCTGGCGGTCTCTCAGGGCTGCATGCTCACGGCCTGTCTTGCTTCTGCAGAGGTCCAGAAGCTAGTGCTGGAGGGCCGGGTGGGTGAGGCCATCGAGACCACCCAGCGCTTCTACCCAGGGCTGCTGGAACACAACCCCGACCTGCTCTTCATGCTCAAGTAAGCCCCGCAGCCCAGCCCCCCTCTCGCGGGCAGTGGGCACCCAGAGCCACCGAGCCCAGGCCATCGCTGTGCTGCTCCCCCCACCCCCCACACCCGCAGGTGCCGCCAGTTTGTGGAGATGGTGAACGGGACCGACAGCGAGGTCCGAAGCCTGAGCTCTCGGAGCCCCAAGTCCCAGGACAGCTACCCCGACTCCCCTAGCCTCAGCCCCCACCACGGCCCCAGCAGTGCACATGCACACAGCACAGGTCAGTCTCGAGTGTGTGTGTGGGGGTGGGCACCCGAGTGCTGGCTCTGAGGAAGGGAGCGGGCCCCCCTGGTGGCAGGCTACCCCTCCCCTCCCCTCTGATGGTCCCCTGGCTTCCAGGAGCCGACAGCCCCAGCTGCAGCAATGGCATGGCCTCTACCAAGAGCAAACAGAACCACAGTAAATACCCTGCACCCAGCTCCTCCTCCTCCTCGTCTTCCTCCTCGTCTTCCTCCTCCCCGTCCTCCGTCAATTACTCTGAATCCAACTCAACAGAGTCCACCAAGTCCCAGCCCCACAGCAGTACCAGTAACCAGGAGACCAGGTGCCTACCTCTCTTGATCTCCTTCCTTCCTCCCTGCCTGCCACTCGGGCTTGCCGGCCACCACTGTCTGTCTCTCAGTGCCACCCTTGCCCTTCACTTTCCCCCTCTCCCCTGCCCACCCCCCCAGTCTGTGTCTGAGTCCCACCTGCTGAGCTACGAGGTGGGCACGCTGGCTCCCTGACCCTGATTCCGCTGTCACTTCCTTTGGGCCTGGCTTTCCCAGGGTTGCTGACTCGGAGAAGGCTGGACTTGGCTGAACACCAGGGTCCCACCAGGCAGCCAGGGTGGGTGGGCAGGAGGCCCTCTGTCACCCTCAAGCATGCCTCACGGCTGCATGGTGTGTGTGTATGGGGTGTGCCAACTCAGAGGAGAGCCAGTGGTGGGATGGTCCCAGGCAGTGGTGGGCCAGGAGTGCAAATCAGGTGACAGGCCAGCTGTTGGAGCCCCTGGGAAACCTGCACAGTCTTCCCACGTCCCCATGGGCCCTCAGTTTACCTACAGGTACCTGTAGGGGGCTAGAGCCTGACCGGAAGCCCTCCCAGGCTGCTCCAGCCCCGCCCCCATCTCCACAGCGACAGTGAGATGGAGATGGAGGCGGAGCATTACCCCAACGGTGTGCTGGAGGACGTGTCCACACGCATCGTCAACGGCACCTACAAGCACCAGGACCTGCAGTCCGACGAGTCCAGCATGGGTAAGGGCCAGCCCCCAGCAGCGCTCCTCCACAGGAGGGCACTGCCAGTCCAGGTGACTGCTCCCCGCGATTCCGGAGCGGGTGGGGTGGGCAGGCCCTGGCAGCTTGATAATCCACTGCCTCCTCTGGGTCCAACTTCTAGACTGACCGTGTGCTCGGCTGATGGTTCCTCCCCAGCCGCTGGCCCCGCCCCAGTTCTTCCTTCTCTCCCCTCCCCTCCCCCCATGCTCTCTGCTGGCCGCTGGGCACAGACGATGGGCACCCTCGGAGGCAGCTCTGCGGAGGCAACCAGGATGCCACGGAAAGGGTGATCCTGTTCGGCCGGGAGTTGCAGGCACTGAGCGAGCAACTGGGCCGCGAGTATGGCAGGAACGTGGCGCACACGGAGATGCTGCAGGTACAGGCCAGCCAGGCCTCGTATGGGCGGGGCTCCTTGGGGAGTGGGCAGTGTGGGCCTGGAGGGGCCTCGAGCCAGTGGCAGTGGGACAGTCAACCCTACTCAGACCCACAGTGGAAATCGGGGGTTTGAGAGGCACCCCCAGCTGTCTATAGGCAGGAGCAGACGCACGCTGCTCTCCCCGGCCCTCTTGTTCGGGAGTGTTGTGCCGTCGCGTCCCCCTCTCCCCCGGCTCCCGGCTACCACCAGGGCCCTGGCCCTCCCTGGTGCCTGGGGCATGTCTCCAGCCTGCCCTGCCCCTTAGGATGCCTTCAGCCTGCTGGCCTACTCGGACCCCTGGAGCTGCCCCGTTGGCCAGCAGCTCGACCCCATCCAGAGGGAGCCAGTGTGTGCAGCCCTCAACAGCGCTATTTTAGGTGAGTGAAGCCAGGCACCATGGAAGCTGGCCCGGGAAGGAGAGCCTGGGACACCCGCCCTCTCTGCCCAGGGAGAGTTGGTGTAAAGCGCTGACCAGGCCTTTCCACGGGCCCCAGGTCTGCTGGGTGCCCACTGCCCCACTGAACTCACCCCTGGCTGGCTCATGAGGGGCCTCAGGTCATGCCCTGGCCCAGGCCAGCTCACTGGGCCCAGGAAGGCTGGAGCCCGTAGGTTCCCGGTGGCTGAGACCTGTCCTCAGGGAGTCAGTCCCCTTTCCTCCCCCTGAGCCCAGGAGAGATTGGCGTGGACCCAGAACCTCGGGCGGGCCAGCGACGGGCTTTGCCTTTCCTCCACAGAGTCTCAGAACCTGCCAAAGCAGCCCCCACTGATGCTGGCCCTGGGCCAGGCCTCCGAGTGTCTGCGGCTCATGGCCCGAGCGGGCCTGGGGTCTTGCTCCTTTGCCAGAGTCGACGACTACTTGCACTAGCTGACCGTGCTGGCTGGCTCCGCCTGGCCTGCTGGAGGCACCGGCACAGGGACCTGGAAGCCATGGGTAGCGTCCATGCCTGCCACCTCCCGCCTGGCCTTCCCCTCCTCTCCCTTTCCTTCTTTGCCCCCTTCAGTCTCTCTCTCTCCCTCTCTCCCCCTCCACGGGCAGCGGCCTAGGACACGGTGTTGTCTGCTTCCTCTAGCATAGCCTTAGGCTCTGGAGGGGCGCTTGTTTGAAGGGAGGTGGGGCCCTGTCACCTGGTCCCTTCCTGGCTGAGCCACCAGTCCTCGTCTGCCTCGGGGGCATTTGCGCTGAGCCCACATCTGCTCACTTAGTGAGGAAGCCGATGCTAGTTGGTGATAGCTTATTATTTTCATAATTAAAAATGAGATTTTATATATATATATATTAAAAACAAGAAACAGTATTTATCGTAGTGTTAGTGGTCAATCACCTCGTGGGTGAGGCTGCCCAGACACCGGATGTTTTTATTCGAGTCCCACCCATGGGGGGAGGGGGTATCATCTCGTCACTTCAGCCAAAAGGCTTGTCTCTTGTCGTCGGCTCCCCCTTCACAGAGCCACGCCCAGCGGGAGCCCAGGCAAGCCGAGGGGGACTCTGCGAGGAGTCGGGCTTGGCAGGTTTGCCACATCCCCAGAAGCCTCTAAGGGCTTGACTGAGTGGAGAATTGCAAGGCTGAGGGTGCAAGAGGTGACAAGCTGGCCCAGGGCCAGTGAGCAAAGCCAGGGGCAGAGGGTCTGTGGCCGGCACGCTGTCTCCCATCCTCTCCTGCCTCCCCCTGCCTTTTTCTCGCTCCTCTCTCCTCCCAGCCCCCCTTTGTTCAGATGGCCAAATAATGCATGGACTCTAAACCGATCGCCTGGAAACGACCGGTCTTCGAGCTGAGAGCTGCTGCGGGGAGGAAGTCTCCATATCAGGACCAGCCCTGAGCACAGGGCCCAATTCTCCCTGCAGGGTTCTCCTTGTCTGCACGTGTCTGCTGGAATCCATGCTTTCTGGGGGTGGCTGATCCCCCACCCAGACTGTGGTTGTGCCAGGCAGTGCCCTGCACCAGGGCCCCGCCCCTCTTTGGGAAAGACAGTCACGAGAGTTTGGTGACCAGCTGTTTCAGGTGGGGCCTTGCAGCTGGGGATAGCATTGCCGCCGGGGACGGAGAGAGAGGAAGGACTGTGTTGCCGGGATGTGGTGGCCCATCTGGGGAGCAGACCAGCTGCCCTGGAGATGAGGAATGGGGAGCTCCACTTAGAGGAGCACCACGAGGGGCTGGGACTTCCTTGCCGGCCTCCGAGACTGCCGGGGAGCAGGGTCAGCAGTTGAACTTGCAGGCCCGGCCTGGCCCTGGGCTATGCCAGCTCTTGCTCCGTGTCTGTGGACACAAGGATGACGGATGCAGCCCAAAGCCGGACCGACCACAAGTGACTGAGGTGCACTGGCTGCTGCAGGCAGGCCCGGGCCTGGCCCTACGCTCTCCACAGGTCTGCCTTTGCTTGAGAGTGACCCTGTGGGTCCGAGCTGGGCGCCCATGTCTGGGAGGGCTGCTCCCGGCTGTCCTGTCGGGGTTCATTTCTGCAAGGCTGCGAGTGCCTGGCTCCTGCCCAGAGCGGGAAACATCTGGCTGTTCCACTGATCGCTGTCCAGCAGCTTCAGAAGGTAAAACCAAAGTCGTTTGCTGCCAGAACAGAGATGAGACCACATCTTCTCCCCAGTTTCTCCTCTGCAAGGAAAAGCGGCAGCCAAAGTCAAGCAGCGAAAGCTGGGCTGAGCCCTGTGCCCACTGGCTAGTCCTGCCAAGGATAGCAGCCGGCCCCCTGGGAGGGAGGGGTTAGGCCGGCATGGCCCCAGCACACTGAGCAGGGGCGTGTCCGGCAGGTGGCGCCTGGGCATGGCTGGAGGAGCCAGGACAGCTTGTGTGCTGTGTGGGGTTTGCTGTCCAACCGCTTGCCCTCAGCACCCATGGCCGCCTCCTGTTTTCTGTGCCTTATCTCACTGTTTCTGCTGAGTCCAAGTTGTTTACTCTGTGCCTCTGCAGAGGCGTGCTCTGTCCCAGCCAACAGCTCTCCTCTGGGACATATGTAAGCCTTTGCCCCACCAGCCGGGGAGAGGGCCAAAACTCACTGCTTGAGCCCCACCCACCGGCCCGAGCAGCCCGGCTGCACCCGGGAGCAGCGCCTGAGAGGAAGAGTCCCAGCGAAGGGCTAAACCTGGCTCTGCGGGGCTGTCCTGCCCTGTTGAGTGGAAGCAGCCCTCCCTGCTGGCTCCACGTAGCCTAGAAACTGGCAGGTCACTGAAAGGAAGCCAGAGTCTGTGACCTCTCCCCACGGGGCCTGGGCTGGGCGCAGGCCGTCACCGCAGGAACACCGAGAGACTGAGGACATGGGTCTGCCTGGTCCTCCGGCATCTTCCCGCCCCTTAAGCACAAAGAAGATGAGGCAGAGAACTGCTGGACCTGCCCGTTGGTTTGGTTGCTCATAACTCAGGTATGCACCGGGAGGCAGCGGGCGCCAGGACCCAAGTGGACCACCAGTCCTGGGCCAGGCTGGCCTTGCACAGGCTCTGCCCGGCACAGGGTTCCCTCCCTCCGTACCACCGCTACCAGGCGGCCTCACCGTGCACGCTGGCTCTGCCTTTGCCCTCACAGGTTGTCGATCAACATTAGCATGACACTTGTGGGCGCCGGGAGGGCTTAGAGAGAATTCTAACACAAAACATCCTATTAAAATTGTACTTGAGAGATGAAAAAAACAACAAAAAAAACTTGTTGTATTTTGACAGAATTATTTTTATTAAAATACACATCATGAGCAGTCATGAGTGATCTGTCCTGAGTCCTTTCTGGGGTCGGCCTCTCTCGATGGCACACCGCTCCTAGAAAGCTTGCCTCCTCCCCCCTGGAGTACTCAGGCCTTCGGAGTGGCCTCAAGGACCCTTGAAATTTGGGGTGTTTGCAAGGCCCCAAAGAGGATAAGCTTCTGTTCCCATCCCAACAGCTTCCATCACAGACATGGAACATGTGGCACATTCAACCTCAGAAAGAATGGGCCACAGGACAGCCTCACCCCAAAATGACATCTTCAGAATCATGTTCGATGACCCGTACCACAAGCACTGGCCAGCCGGGAAAAGCTCTTCCAAAGGGGACTGAGCCTCGGCCCCTGCCCGTCATTCTGAGGTGGGCACGCTTGTGCTCAAATTGAGCTCTGCTGTTGCTAGGCAGCTGACCTCTGACCCTCCATTTCCCACCCTTAAAGGGGGGTTAGCCCTTCTGCCCCATAGAGATGGATGCCCTGGTGTGGCTGGCCTGCTGTGGCCCCCAAGGCCCCCGCCATCCTGGCTACCAGGGTGGTGTCCACCTGGTGGCAGCATTAGAATCCGACTGGAAGCAAACCAGCTAGCTAGCAAGCTACTGTGGGCTTGAGAAATAATTTAGGAAAGAAATGCTGGCAGAGGAGGCCGAGTGACTGTAAGGGGGTGGCAAAGGCAGGCTTTTGATTTGGGTGGCAGATGGCTAAAGGTGCCACTGCTAAGTTTGCTAAAGAAGGGGACACAGAATTATATAGCTTGGGGAGAGAGACTTGGTCCCTGCATAAAAGGTCTGGCTGGTCCAGCAAGTTAGGAAAACACATGGACATTCACAAAGCAAAACACTGCCATCGAGTCAATTCCGATGCATAGCAGCAGTGACCCGGACCAGCTAATTAAAAGCTCCAAGGAGTCTGTCAAGATAGGTTTATTCCAGCACTTTCCTAACCTACGTTACTACAGGATGCATCACCGGAGCCTCTTCCAGGGCTAGCACACTACAGAACCCTCCTGGGCCAAAGTGAATGTAGTGGGATGAGCAGACCTGCACCAACAACCCAAGTTTCCTCTTTGACACTAGAGACTCCTTTCCCGCCGCACGAGTGGTCCTCAGTCTGCAAGCAATATCTAGGAAGGCCTGGTGATGCTGTTGGGTAAGCACTGGGCTATAACCACAGCGTCAGTGGTTCAAACCCACCAGCAGCCCCACAGGAGATAGATGAGGCTACTGCTCCCACAGCCTCAGCACCCATCAGAAAGGACTCCAGGTCGAAATCGTCTCCAAGCAGTGGTGTGGGTTGTGGCTTTTGGTTCCGTGGGGGTGGGACCCTTCTGGCATGCACTGGGGAGTGCTACTAAACATATCACAGATGCACAGGCCCCCAAATGTCAGTAATGCAGAGGTGGCCAGCCCCTGCTCTAGGAGGGTTTCTAACTGCAGTGTTGAACAGTGACAAAGACGCTCTGTTTCGGCCTCCTTTTGTCCAGGGCAGAAGGGGCAGCAAAGGCTGAAACGCCAGAAGGGACCCGGGGGGTGGTTGTGGTCTCCTCCATCTGGGAGCCTTCCACAGTGATCCAAGTGGCAGCAGTGCTGGGGAGGTTAGTGTCTCTGCTCTGGGGGTGCCCTGAGGGTCAGCCATGGGTGGAATGCCCCAGCACATGGGACCCTCCTAAGGCCAGAATTCAGACTCACCCAGCCCACCAGGCAAGCAGGGCAACGGGCCTTTCCGCGCAGAGCTAAATCCCAATCTTTAAATCACAGCCGTAAGGTCCACCCTTCATATCCAACACTCACACCAAGACTTCACTCAGCAGTGGGCAGTCTGGCAGACCAAAAGGTAGTCTTGTGACAAAGCAGTCTTTCCTGTCAAGAGACATAGGAGCCAATAAACAGGTGGGTCACAGGCCTTTAGATGCATGGATGCTTAAGGAAGCGCCCGCGGACAGCGAGAGGAAGAGGAACCTACAAAGGTTCCTGAAAACAGGAAAGCGAGAGTCATCCGGAGTTAAAAAGTCCAGAGAGTTCAGATAACCGGCCTTCAGAGGGGAAAGGTCGTTGTCCGGCGCCTGCCCGCCCAGCCTTCACAGCAGGATAACTCAAGCCGACCGCAATCCTCCGATCGTTTCTGGGGCCAGGTTAGAGACCCCAGGATACGCCATCAGACAATGGACCACAGCACACCCGGCCGGAAACGTAGGACCCGGTCCCCAGCCGGGCCGGCTAAGCCCCGCCCCCTGCGGGTGAGCATGCGCACCTCCGGGTGCCCGCCCCCCTGCCAGAGAGCATGCGCAGTCCTCCCCGCCGCCCCGCCCCGCCCCTTCGGAGCCCTGGGTTCCTTAGAAACCGGGCGGCGCGTTCCCGGTTGCGGCGCGCCGCGCTCGGTGCCCGCGCGTCCCCGCCGGCCTCCTTCCCGGCTGGCCGGTGGCGGCCGAGGCCCGTCCGGGCGCGTGGTCCCCAGGGCGGAGCGGGGCCAGCGATGCCAGCGTGCCAGGTGAGAGGCGCCCCGCGGCGGCGGGGGAGGGGGAGGGAGAGCGCGGCGTGGCCCCGAGCGGGCGCCGGCCGGGCCTCCTCCGCGGGAGGCCAGCGCCCGAGGTCCGCGGCGGAGGTGCGCCCGGCCGGGGCGGCGGGGTGCGGTTGCGGCTGTCGGAGCCGCCTGGCTGCGGGAGTTCGGGGTCGTAGCCCGCATCCCCGAAATAGGTCTTGCACGTTTGGCCGTGGAATTGTGGATCCGGGAAGGTAGGACCTTCGGACCTAGACTGCCCCTTTACTGGACGTAGAAACCTGGACTCCTCTGCCCTGTGCCTGGCAGACCCGCACCACCTGTGGGTGCGACAACGCACGCTTTGAGGATGGGGGTGTGGGAGGTGTGGAAGCCGCAGACAAAGGCCTCCCCGGGTGGCCGGGCCATCCCCTTTTGGATCGAGGTGGGCTTTTTTGGGGGGAAACAGCGTTCAGGTGGGAGAATGGACACCCCAGAGGGTGCCGGTGGGCGCTGCCAGCCCACAGCAGCTCGATGGCCCTGGCCTACCTTTTAAAGGTCAGGAGAGACGGAAGCAGACGGGCTTGGAGAGACAAAAGGTGAAGTCAGATTCTGCCATTCAGGCATCACCCCAGGTGAATGGCCAGGGCACAAGAGGGGGGCCGCAGAGCTGCTCCAGTGAGCCGCGGCCGAAGGGTTTACCACCCAGAACAGCCCCAGCATCCGAAGAATCTGGAACAGAAAAGTTGAAAGCAGCATTTAAACAGCAAGTGATTTGTGCTTATTGTCCCCCTGGTGTCACTTGAGCACCAGTCGTGGGAAGCAAGACTGTGCCCCGAGTGTGCAGCACCAGGGCGGGCACCCCGGAGGACCTCGGCAAAGAGGTTGCAGGGAGCAGCTGTTGGGTTAGCGGAGAAATACACTTACAGGGTTCTCGGGATGTGGAGCGAGCTGCCATGAAGAGTGGCAGCTCGATTTGTTCTTGATAAGAAAACTCATTTCCTTCCGGAGCGTTCCACCAGGGAACAAGAGTTTTCAGTCCAGCCACTTTGCAGAAGACTAGAAGCCAAGCTACTGATTTGGGACGCGGAGTTTCAGAGAATGCGTCCCAGGACCAAGAAGTGAACACTCTCAGCAGACGATTCTGCTGGGAAGTATCTGTTTTATAGAGTCTGTTGTAAGAGGGTTTTTTTGTTTTGCCTCCTATTTGTTCAATGGTTGTGAGTCTGATCCAGTTATTTTTATATGCTAAGAAACTGTAGAAATATTAGAACCTGCTAGTGGTAGGACTACCAGGTTTGGTTTGGTTTAAAGTCCTACCCTCTTTGGAAAAGAAGAAATAAAACTCACTCTACGGAGGAGGGGAAGTGTGTGATTTTAAAATGTTGCCCCCCCCCTCCCCCCCCTTCCATGAGCCCAGTCCTCTGTATAAAGCCCCATTTTGTCATATCTTCCCCTCTGAACCATCATCATCCAACCAATTTCCAATTGCCTTCCCTCCGGAGTGCTGCGAGGAGAAGCGCGCCGATGTTTTATAACAGGTCAAGTATATTTACGGGAGAGAGTTTGGTCTTGGCTCCAGTGGTTCCATCAGTGTCCCAGCATCACGGTGGCCACTGGGGGCCGTCCGTTTTATTGACTTATCTTGTGTCTGTGACAATAGCTTATAGAAATGCCTCAGGGCGTAACATGTGGAGGAAATGGCCGTGTTGGCCAAATCCTGTCAGGAAACCTTCATGGGGAGCATTGTCGTCTGTGCCGGAACCGCCAGTCCTTTAGCACTGACCGGGCTCCAGAGAAGGCAGGTAGGCCCAAACCAAAGTAAAATGGAAGGAGGAATTGCAGACTCTCAAACCTGAGGCAGAGCTGACAGGGTGTGTGCAGTGCTTCGAGTGTAAATACTCCTTGGAGCAGCCGCTGCTTCAATGCGGTGATTGCCCTAGTGATGTGTGTGACTTTTCTGAGTCCCTACCTTAAAAAGAAAAACAGCAACTTGTTTTTAGAGGAGAAGGTGGGCTGAGAGGACTCTTCAAATGTCTCCTAGTTGCTAAGACAGGGAAACCCTTGACAAAGAATTGCTTAACATCCACTCCCATTTTTCTGAGGCCGCTGAGGGCAGTTATCCCATCTGGCCTGTCATAAAGTCATCAGCAGTGACTGGGTGCCAGATAAACCAGCCATGCTAACAGGATCTACTTTCACTGAGCTGAGTTCCCCGGCTGCAAGAGAAACAAGTGAAACAGGGATGCAGCAGCGGCACCAGCCGGAAGTCACTGTTGGGGAAACACAGGCTCCACAGTCCTCTAACCAAGAAGCAGGAAAAGAGCCTTCATGCTGGTGCACATTTATAGTCGGGATCACTGTCCAGGGAAAATCCACTGTTGGAATTGGAAAGCCACAGGGGTGGGAGGGTGGTGGTGGATGAATTGGAGATTTTGCTATTTGGGAGAAATTTCATATATAGTAAAGTTATGGGCAATAGCATTCCTACATATAAAAGTAGCAATGTAGAATAACTTAATTGT